AAAAAAAAATTGAGGGAGTGGTGTATAGCTCGGGTAGAGTGCTTGGCTGGCGTGTGCAAGGCCCTGGATTGATCCCCAGCACCAGAAGGAAAGCTTTTAATTTTTTTTAAAAAGTTGAAATGATCAGTGAGTGTTCTTCAGGCCTGAACCACCCTTTCCTCCCTTGCTCATTGCTTCTTACTGGTTTCTATAGCATCTTGTGTTGTTTCCTCAGAAAAATTTCTAAACATGAACCACTTCTGGTGAATTAAAATTATATTAGAGGGTTGGAGAGATGGCTCCGAGTTAAAAGCACTGACTGCTCTTGCAGAGGACCTTGGTTCAGTTCCCAGCATCTACGTGGAGGCTAACAGCTGTCTGTAACTCCGGTTTCACGGGATCCAGTGCCCTCTTCTGGCTTCCATGGGCATTGCACAACATGGGTGCACAATACTCATACACATAAAATACAGACAAATAAAAATTTTTTAATTAAGTGGAAGGTCTCCCTTTTCTACGCTCTTGGTCAATAGCTAGCAGGTGAGCATTATTGAAGCTCAGTGGGAATAAATAGGATGTCTCTGGCTCTCTACTTGCATAGCTCTGACAGCCCTCAAACTCCTTTTGTAGACAAAAGTGGCCTCCAACTTGCAGAGATCCTTCCAATACTGGGATTACAGATGGGTGGCACTCCATCAAGCCTCTGAAATTTATCGTTCATACCGTGTTTTTAAATAAGAATATCATAATTAGGGCTGCATTACTCAGAAACTAATCCTCCTTTCGTAGAGTTCTGTGAACTACTTTTCTTTATAATTAATTGTATGCTTCACAGTTAAATTGCAGTGGGCTTTAGAAATGTTCGTGTATCAATTACACGTAACTGGTATAACTAAGAACACATAAGACAGGACGATACTGACGGATCAGGAAGGAAGAACTGAACTTGTTGAAAACAACTGGGAAAACACTGGCTAAGCAAGAGTGAGTACTTAAAAAGCCAAAATGGGGCCACTTTGGCCATTGATAATGCTTTGGATAGTCAGAGCCTGTGTATAGAACTTTCCTAGAGGGTTAAGTAAGAGTAATCCACCCATTAAACCACTGTTCAAAGTTTGATAGCTTTGGAAAGACCAGTTTATACCAGAATCGGGAGAATTTACATTTTTATCAGCTTTTATGAATGAGAGAAATCGAGATAGCAGAGTATGAAGAACGTGCTCTAAACACATGGGTATACTTAAAATAACCCTGCCAACCTTAGTATGA